GTGTGTCTGTGCTGCAGTAATGCTCAGCATTGCACCCCACTTCTACTAATTCCTCACCCAACTTTTCTATCTCCATCATGTACTGAATACAGACTCTATTTCCCTATTGTCCAGACCCCCAAGGGCTCTGATGGTTTCAAGCAAACCCTGACACTTCTTGATACTCAAAGTTGTATTGTAGTTTAATATTTTTGTACCTGTGGATAAGATAAAAAGCAAGTCTGAAATCCAAAAGAGTAGCTCCTAGCTTTATCTAACAGAATGATCCTTGCCAGTATGCTTTCACTGCTTTCTCAGTGTAATAAGGGTTCAAGAGTCTCTCCATAGCAGGAAGTTTGGAAAGAAAATGGAGAACAGCAGCAGGGTGACTAAGTGGTTAGATGGAACAGCTTCAAAGGAAACATGAAAACAAATGAATGAGCTCAATACTCTTCTTACACCTGTGTGCATCAAGAGTAGTCCCAGGGATACCACCTGAGTTATACCCATGTAAGATTAATATGGAAGAAGAATGGGTCCAGTTACATATAACTTAGCAAAATAGAGGTAAATGGGGGAGGATGAAATAACCATATTGCAAGCTGAAAAGGAGAGAAAATATGTCAGGAATTTCCAAAAAGTATAACTAGGAGAAATGAGTGACATTTTCAGAAATGCCAATCAATGCAGAACATCAGAAAAAAATTCTCAAAGATTAGATCCCTCAGGCTGTAGATGTCTCCTGGGGAGATGGTTGAAAGCACAAATTCTTAAGACATTCAAGTCTAGATCAGGCAATACACTAAGAATATAAAATGCAGGGAGCAAACCTGTACTTGCCACTCACAGTATCTCCTCCCATTTCTAACATCTGATATTCCTTTAACACATAAAACCCAGAAATTTAGGTCTGCAATAAAGGTCTCCTTACTCCCCCTCTCTTACTGGGTCAAAAACATTTGGTTGAGATGTTCAAATTTGGCTTGAAGATTTAAACACTTGTGCAGCTTTGATTATAATTAAAAGCAGTTGTGCATCTAAATCCCTTGGTTGGCTTTGAAAACCTCACTTGTCATTTTCTACATGGCTTATTCATCTCTACACTCATACCGTACCAGCTGGAAGCTGCAGGCCTCTGTTCACAGCTAATCTAGGTGGCTCATTCTTTGGCAGCTCCATGGAGAACTCCACCCTCCCCATCTCAGTGTACAGTCCATCTGTGAGGGAGAATCTGAATTCATCCGACCATGCCTCAGCACCAGCTAGCGTGTAAACGATCAGCTTGTCCAGAACATCTTGGTAGGTAAAGGATGAGCCCTGTGACAGAATGCGCCCATTCTCCAGAGGTTCCAGGCAAGACTGTCTCCTGCGCAGGTGACCTGAGGAAGAACAAGCACACTTACAAACAAGCAATGAAACATACCCAGGCAGAGCGGCCCCAGCTCTCGCTTCATCCATTAAGCTCTCACAACTTTCTTTTTAAATAGAAAGATATATGAATGTGGGATGTTCAAAGCTTACTGATCACTCACTTTCAGAAAGAGTCACTTTTTTCCAAGACAGAGAGAGCGATTATTAAGGAGATAAGGCATGCCGTAGTGGGTCAGACCATAGGACCAATTAGTGCAGTATCCTATATTTCAAAGTGGCAGAAAATGGATACTAATGGAAACAGCATATGTGCAGGGCCTATCCAGAATGCGCCTCTCTGTCTACTATTTCCAGCATTTAGGGACCTAGGAAGACCTAACTGAATGTTGCAACCTAACTGCCCACTGAAGGGCTTAGCCTGCATAAATTTATCCAATCTTTTTTTGAACCTGGTTAAATTATCAGCCTTCTAAACATCCTGCCAAGGATCTCCACAAATTAATTACACACTGTGCAAAAAAAATAAACCTTCCTTTTGTTTGATTTAAAAGTGTTACCTAATAATGTTCTTGTATGTTACCTAGTTCTAGTGTTGTGCATAACAGAAACTAGTCAATTCTGTTTGTTTTCTCCATGACATTCATGGTTTTACAAACTTCTATCGTATCATATCCTGGTAATTCTGAACCAGATGATCAGCAGCCTTATTGCTCTTTCTACATATAGACCTTTAGCTGTGTCTAGAGACAGCTTTTCTTTAGACAGCCTGGCAGGGTGGGTATGCTAAAAACTTTGACCATGGTTGTTGAAAACTGTAACAATCTTGTCTCAACTGTATTGACAAAAAATAGTTTTCAGGACTGCCTCCTTGAAAAGGTTTCTGGAGGAGGCAAGCGCACTGTGTCATTTTTTTAAGGCCTATAATGACTACACTTGCACCCACACTGCGCCAATGACTACACATTAGCACCCATGTAGTCCTGCACTGACCTGGGGAGAAATCCCAGAGGGACCATAGTGGAAAAACCTTGTGCATGGCCTACGACACAATGCCTTTACAAAACAGGCTCCCCCTCTGTAGTCCTCTGCACCTATCTTGGGCTAGGTCCTCTCTTGTCCTGAGAGCTATTAGACTCAGTGATTGCACTCTGGACCCTGAAACTTGGTGGAAAAGTGGGGAGAAGGAGGCTGGATGGGAAGATGGGGAAA